GGTGAACTGGTACTTTGGACTGTTTGGGTTTAACTGAGTATTTAAGTGGGAGGCAGATTTACACGCAGTTGGTTTTTAGGTCTCTTTAGTGTACACGCAGAAGCGCGCTTACGTACATTATCATCATACATCCGTGTCCATGATGGCGCTGTAAAAATGTTGTTAGAGCAAATTTAAGAAGACACAAAAAGTCCTCTCTCTGTCCAGCGTTTCATCGGGAGAGAAAACGTAATCACGACAAAGTATTTTCACGGGTGCAGGTATGCAGCTCTCGCGTTCAAATTCCTCGCGCACAGTCTGAGCTCTCAGTGCTCCCTCTGGCAGCTCCGCTCTCCCCAAACTCAACCGTGAGCCCGCCATTCACCGACTTTTGAAAGTTTGGAGGGCGGAGCCAAAAAGGAACATGGGCGACTTTCAAAGCAGTACGAAACAACCTCGAGTTGTACCGTGCGGCAACGTGACCGCTGTTTTATGCCGTGTTTGTTCTTGAAAATAAATTAAAAATACCGTCATTTTCTGGAGTGTATGAGTGCAAGTACTACCATTAGAATACTTTAATGCAAGGGCAATCTCATAATCCAGGAGATTCTAAGGCATGTCCTGAAGCGTTTCCGTCCACTCACAGTATGCACAGTTACATGTGTTTGCTGCAGATTGGCCATTAAATTATGTTTTATCTCTTGACTTTTGACATAATTCAATACAGTCTGATGGCTGAGCAGAACTGAACTGAAGTTAATGTGTTTAAGCATAGTAATGACATATCTGTGTAAATAACAGCCTATGATAAAGTTATTCCTATTGAAAATATTCACATTTAATATATGTTGGAAGCACTTAACCTATATTTACCAACCATATTTGTAATAAAACTTTAATGACGGTACATAGACTAATGACTACTGCAAATACTGACTTTGAATTTAAACAGAAAACTGAAAAAATTGACTAATTGAAAACTGAATGTGCCTCACATCTCAAACTGGATCTCCTACAGCTCTAACAGCAGTGATCCAAACACAGCAGACTGTGCTGGCAGCAATGAGAGAAGATGCTGAAGTCAGCTGTCAGCTCTTG